GAATTCATGAATCTTCTAAACACGTTTCATCATCCTCAGAACACGACTCAGATTTGATATTAGCACCAAAAACAACTGATTCATCCTCAATTTCGTTTTAATGTCTTCTGCTGAATATTCTGTTGGTTCAATTTTAATTGCTTGATCATTCATAGACATAATTGTTTTCTTCCGACATCTCTCAATATTTTCACTGTGTTTAATCAGTAAATATTTACGAAACGATTGTGTGCTAAAACAATAATAATAATCTAGTCTAATCACTAATATCATAATTATAAAAGTCAACTTTTCAACTGAATCTACCTGCATTTATTATTTGACATTTGAAGCATAGAGTATGCATTAGAAAGACGAGACATTTTTAAAATTGGCGGGATATTTAACAAGTGGCGCATCTTTTCAACTTCATTATGGTTCTCTATGGTGGAAATGTCAAACAATAAATTTTGGTGAAATCATTATCAAATGTCAAAATTATTGATTAAACTTGATTATTATTATTATTGTTTATCACACAATTGTTTTCGTAAATATCTACTGATTATACGGAGTGAAAATATTTAAAAATGTCAGAAGAAGCAATTATGCCTATGAATGATCAGGCAATCAAAATTGAACCCCCAGAATATTCAGTAGGCAATATTAAACAAGAAATCAAAGACGAAATTGATATTGTTAAATCTGAATCATATTCTGAGATTATGAAACGTGTTTAGATACATTCGTGAGTTCCGAAATGACGATCGAGGAAGAAGTTGAACAGGAGTCTTATGAATGTAACATTTGTAGTCAATCATTTGCAGAATCAGATCATCTAAAAGAGCATATGGTCAATCACGAGCCTAGTGATAGCAAAGAACGCCCTTTCAAATGCGGAATCTGTAATAAGACTTTCAAACTATCAAAAGTGTTAAAAACGCACATGGTTACACATTCTGAAGAACGTCCCTTTGAATGTGAAATATGCAAAAAGACATTCACCCAATTAGGTAATCTGAAAAGTCATATGGTCATTCATAGTGGTGAGCGCCCCCATGAATGCACTATATGCAAAAGGACATTTACAAATTCAAGTAATCTGAAAAAACACGTTACAATTCACAGTGGTGAGCACCCCTATGAATGCAGTATATGCAGCAAGACATTCAGACTATTAGGAAGTCTGAAAGGTCACATGGTCGTTCACAAGGGTGAGCGCAACCATGAGTGCAACATTTGTAATAAGACATTCACACAATTAGGCAATTTGAAACTTCACATGCTTGTTCACACCGGTGAGCGTCCGCACGAATGCCGTATATGCGAAAAGACATTCACACAATTGGGTTCTCTGAAAACTCACATGCTGATACACAGTGGAGTGCGCTCACATGAGTGCGGTGTATGCAATAAGACATTTACACATCTAGGTAATTTAAAATGTCACATGCTGATACACAAAGGAGTGAATGCCCATGAATGCAGTATATGCAAAAAGACATTCAGACATCCAGCTAGTCTGAAAAGTCACATGGCGACGCACAATGGAGTACGTGTCCATGAATGCAATGTATGCAAGAAGACATTCATACATTCAGGCAGTCTGAGAAGACACAGGCAGATTCATAACAGAAAACATGCTTATAAATGTGAAGAATGCAATGAGGGATTTACTGAATTGAACGATTTCAGGATACACATGGCACTTCACACAAAAGAAATCAATGAAGTATTATAGCAACTATGATTGCTATTCTATTATATTGATTCATATTACTATGTTTAATATTAACATAATCAAATTAGGTACTGTTTAATGAATATAAAATTTATAATAAACAATTTTGTAACCAGTACTCTTTAAGATAGAACATGAACAGAAAACATTTGCAATAAGCATATATTGTAAAACTTCTTTCAAAATACTGTGATAGATTTTTTCTTATTAAAAACTCCCTGGCTATGGAGAATGTTACTAAAGAATTAAGATATGCACCTAAGATTATTCGAGTAGTCTAACAGCATTAATATAACTGTATTTATTTATGTATAAGCAAGCTTTAATTAATATACATAAAATTTCTGACTTAACTACATTTTTTATGTTATTTACTCTATATATCTGTTACTAGATGACCCGATAGACATTGTCCTGTACCCACGTCTACAATTCAAAAGTTCCATATTTTTCAATATCCTGTCCTATACTTTTTAATATCCTATTCGATGTCCTGCATTTGTGATTTATTTAGGTCTTATTATAATCAGAATAAGAAATTTAGAAAAAAATAATATAGTATCTGCGATAAAAGAACAATATCACAATTGATTTTACCACTTGCATATAAATTGCATATAAATTATTATATATATACATATATATATATATATATATATATATATATATATATATATATACATTATACATATATATCATGTATAATTAATATAAATCCGTGCAACATGAACAAGGTGGATGTAATATTATTCGAGAGGTTATTAATGCAATATATCACAAGGCCTGAGAGGAATTTCGAATATGAAGCCAAGAGGGCATTTACCTGGATGTAGGTACTTCAGAAATTAATATAACACATAATTCAATATATATATATATATATATATATAACGGAATTACAAAAAATATTTCAAACGTTCTTTCCATACAATTTTTTTCACAAAAGCACTCAAATCCCCATCAACTCACAATCGAACCAACTAACCATATCCACCATGTCCATCTCTTTTATCCATATATGCAATATCAATTAATATTTTAATTGCACAATGCCCCCCCACATGCCCGAAAAGCCCACCATATAAATCCTGTGCATTTATTATATACAGATGTCCTTTTGTGTTCGAATTAATTTCAGTGGAAATGAATGAAGCCATTATTATTTGTCCAGGGTATTAAAGATTAATATTTATAATTATGGTTATTATTAATATACAAGAGATAGTGTGTGTGTATGGACTGTGCAGATGATATGGACAGTATGAAACAATTAGCACTACATTTATGTGGAGTGCCGGAATGGGAATACAGGGGCGAATTGGAGAAAGAATTTTATATATATATATATATATATATATATATATATATATATATGTATACTAGACGGCCCGACAGATGTTATCCTGTACCCGCGCCTCCAATTCAAAAGTTCCAAATTTTTAATATTCTTTCCTATACTTTTTAATATGCTATTTGATGTCCTGTCTTTGTGATGCATTTATGGTCTTAGTATGAGCATTATAAGAAATTCAGAAAAAATAATATTAGTATCTGCAGTAAAAGAACAATATCACACTTGATTTTACCACACAACATAATTGCTTCAATAATTTAGTCTATAATTTTCATAATCTCGTACGATATATTAATTGCTTTTCGGCAAATATAATTTCTAAAGTACATTTTTCTTACTAATAATTTAATAAACATTATTGTTTATGTTCAAATCTTAGGTGAATTAATTTGTAAAATATAGTTCATATGGGCACTATTCAATCTAAGATCAACTTGATAAATACTCAATATCCGATGCCGATCAAATGTATTTTTGTTACATGAAACAAAATTCTAAGTCATTTTTTTAATAAGTAGAAATATTGTTTTGTATTGTTAAATAATTTAGTGAAGTAAACCAAAATGCGACATGCATAAGTTTAAAAAAATAATGTACATATATGCAATTTTGGACTTGATGCGTTATTTATTGAACGGAATTATATAATTTCATCTGCCAAACAGATTCTGTTGACTGTATCTTATATTATTTTAATTTCTGGCACATCTTAGCTGCTGCATTATATTCTAATATTATCTGGACTCATAATTTCAGCTAAATTCAAATTTCAAGTAAATTGACATGTCTAGCAGATGGCATTTCAAATGTTTTCAATGTCGAACAATGATAAGTATTTTGTTGTAATTTTTGCCATTTATTTTTACAATATTACTATAGTTTTATCGTTCATTAAATCTTAAAATTTTTCTTTAACAAATTCTAAAAAGAATTATCAAAATCCGAATAACCGTTTGGGAGAAGTATCGAATCATATACACGTACAGAAGAATTATATATATATATATATATATATATATATATATATATTCATGAAGGCTTTTGGGGGAAGTGCGGTTTGACAAAAAACCACCAAATATAACCTGGGGAAAGGATTGTCTAGTAAGATATCACGTGTATTTATTTTTTGTCTGAATTTTAAAAAAATCCAAACAGTTTCATACGAAATACAAAAATTACACGAAATACAAAAATACAAAATTCTAAGTCATTTTTTTAATAAGTAGAAATATTGTTTTGTATTGTTAAATAATTTAGTGAAGTAAACCAAAATGCGACATGCATAAGTTTAAAAAAATAATGTACATATATGCAATTTTGGACTTGATGCGTTATTTATTGAACGGAATTATATAATTTCATCTGCCAAACAGATTCTGTTGACTGTATCTTATATTATTTTAATTTCTGGCACATCTTAGCTGCTGCATTATATTCTAATATTATCTGGACTCATAATTTCAGCTAAATTCAAATTTCAAGTAAATTGACATGTCTAGCAGATGGCATTTCAAATGTTTTCAATGTCGAACAATGATAAGTATTTTGTTGTAATTTTTGCCATTTATTTTTACAATATTACTATAGTTTTATCGTTCATTAAATCTTAAAATTTTTCTTTAACAAATTCTAAAAAGAATTATCAAAATCCGAATAACCGTTTGGGAGAAGTATCGAATCATATACACGTACAGAAGAATTTTATATATATATATATATATATATATATATATATATTTATGAAGGCTTTTGGGGGAGGTGGGGTTTGACAAAAAAACACCAAATATAACCTGGGGAAAGGAAGGGTCTAGTAAGATATCACATGTATTTATTTTTTGTCTGAATTTTAAAAAAATCCAAACAGTTTCATACGAAATACAAAAATTTTACGATGTTTTTTGTAACTTTTTTTAGTATAATTAGAGAATCTCGAAGTATTCATCAAGACTTTACTGATCAAACAGATCTCGTTTCTATTTGAGTCTTATTGATCTTGTTGGATCACAGAGTTAGTATCAAATAATAAAATAGGAAAAGTTCGAATTAAATGTAAAAACTTTGTAAATACACGTGGGGAAGGGGGTTTATTTGGAATATTGTTACGTATCCTCAAGGGGATGTCCAAAAATCCTTAAAAATCGATCACGTGATTAATGGGACGTCCACCTTTCGGACAGTTAATTATGGGACACAGCATATTTCTGTAAAAAACTGGAGGGGGTTTCATACTCAAAAAAAATCTTTATGATGAAATCTTGTGATGAAGTAGAACAGTATTGCATCATTTATTATTTTAAAAATGATTCTAATAAATACCTCAGTAGTTATAACTAATATAACTTACGCTTCTTTATCTCAGTGTTATAAATTGATGATAAATAAAATAGATTACATAACATTAAGTATGTAGTCTCGTGTTTGTGTAATTAAATAATTTGCACTAATATTTGTTATGTAATAAGACTAACATTGAGTAAAAGTATTAATAAATAATTAATTTTTTTTAGGATATAGTACAAAAACCCTGCACCCCCTAGTAGACAATTTTGCACAAAAATTTGGTAAAACACCCCCTGTGTTTGCTGTCGTGATAGATGCTGGATCTACGGGGAGCAGAGTTTTAGCTTATAGGTTTCATAGAGGATATTTAGGTAAGTATGTTGTAATTGATACAGTCGACCCTCCTACAACGCGGGCTGAAATTGCGGTTACCCTCTTATAACACGGTACCGTAATAAGCGTTGTTTTCGTTTCGAACAGCCTTCCGTGCAACATTACTGAATGACTCCAGTAACATAACATAAAAAAGAGTGCGCGTAAGGTTCACATTCGATTGAAGTAAAACTGTTTTGCTATCGTAGGAGATGGCATTTAAGTTGAAAATAAATACATAACAATTTTGAATAATGTTTATTGGTAATATGGTAATACTCGCGATGCACATATTAGTGTCAACAATTATACACATTTATATAATGATAAATTATAAATTATATATTTATAATAGCATTAAAAATATTTATATTTGAAAACAATAACGTAATTAAAGTCGTACTTCAAATACGACAAGATCGGTTTGTCATTGTAATTAGTATTTAGAAATGAACCTTCATTAGAGAAATGAAGTAATTGCTGATTAATAACTTCTATAATATTCGTTCACACAGTGGATTATGTTCAAAAACGCCTAAACAAATATTGTTTTAGCAACTTCGCTCATCATGTAATAATAATTGTGTTTGTAGAACTTCATGTAATTAAAATTAACATACATTCATTGACTGCTTGTATTTTTTTTACTTTTTCGCTGGCGATATAATCTCATTCTTTAAACCGCTGAAATATCTGTTTTGAAGTAAAACTTTTTTAGGCGCGACTAGTGTGTAAATCTGTGAAAATGCAACGGAAGAGCGTTACGCTCGAATCGAGTGCTAATGATTCATCCTTCATTTTCGATGATATCATTTCTATACGGGTCGATTGTGATTGGTCGTCGTGTCGCGTGAGTATGATTGCCTAGATTACATTACAAAACAGTTGTACTTCAATCACGTTTGAACTTAACGGGCACTTTTTTTTGTTTGAAAACAGTTTTTAGTTTTTAATCTAACTTGATTTTTTATCATATCTTCATATAAACTCTTCAATTTAATAAATACAATTTATCCTGTCTTTTGTATTTCTTGGTTTCCATATAACGTGGTACAAATTTGATTTTTTTTTTTTTTTAGTTTCTCAGAGCGCGGTTCTCATATAACGCGATTGCCAGTTTTCATAGAACA